ACCATAGTGCTGTTTGGATGGCGCCAAGTTATAGTCCCGGATCATCGATGCAAAGTAGCTCCTGCCAATGCGGGCATTGCCGGCGTGGTTGCAGCACAGTAGAACGCAAGTGAAGGAGGAATCCATAGCCGAGAATCCTTCCACCTCCATGCTTGCGAGGATCCCGATGGTTTCCACTAGCTTCTTGCTTGCAGCGGCCAAGAGCGCAGTCCAGAGGATAGAATCACGCTCCAGAAGTCCATCAAAGAGAGATTTAGCTCTTTGGAAGCTCCCCTTCCGTGCGTAGCCGAGGATCAAGACCGTCCACGATCGTAAGTCCCGCTCCGGCATCTCTGAGAGGATGAAGCTCGCTCGCTCGATGCAGCCGCTCTGGACGAGTCCGGCCAGCATGAGGTTCCACGAGACTTTGTTTCGATCGGGCATGCACGAAAAGAGAGTCTCGCATTCTTCGATATGCCCGTGTTGCGCATACGCGGCCAGCACTGTGTTCCACGAAACCACGTCCCACTTGAGCATTCCATCGAAAAACTGGAGCGCTTCGTCAACTTTTCCCGCTTGAGCGTAGCAGTGAAGCATGGCATTTCTAGATACCAGGTCCTGGCACGGCATCTCTTGAAAAAAAACCTTTACCCGCGAGAGGGATTCATTCTGAGCGATCAGTGCAAGCATCAAAGTCCACGAGACCAAATTCCTTTCTGGCATTTCCTCGTAGAAAATTCTTTTCACCCTTTCAAACCTAGCAAAGGTGGTGTCGGCGTTGTTATACGCAACCAACATTGCATTATAGGACATCACGTCCAGGAACGGCAAAGCTTTCCACAAGTTCTCCACTTCCACAACATGCCCTCTTTGGGCATATGCCGTAAGCATGGCATTCCACGTCACTATATTCCGCCGCGGCGACTCCTCGAAAACACTTCTCGCGGCATCTACACTCCCGTACCGTCCAGACGCCGAAAGCATCGCGTTGAAAGATGCCATGTCACGCTCGGGCATATTCTCAAACACCTGTTTCGCCTTTGGGAAATACCCGTGTTGGGCATATCCTACAAGCATCGTGGTCCACGATATAAGATTCCTCTCAGACATTTCTTCAAATAAAACTCTCGCGTTTTGTATAAATCCATTCTGCGAGTACACGGCAAGCATCGAGTTCCACGACACTAAGCTCCACTCCGGCATATTCTCAAACATTTCTATAGCGTCTTCCAGATACCCGTTAAGGGCATATGCCGAAAGCACCGTGTTCCATGTCACAGCATCTCTGCCGGTGGTCATTTGATCAAACAATTCCTTCGCAGAGCCGATATGCCCGCTTTGGGCATACGCAGCGATCATCAAGTTCCAGGAGAAAACATTCTTCACGGCGAGACCATCAAAAACTCGCCGAGCTTCTTCCAAACTCCCACACCTCCCATACATTTGCACAAGCAAATTCGAGAGATACTGCGCTTGGTGGTGATGACTCGCGATCTTCGAGTGGACGTCTCTCACCTGGGACAAGCTCTTGCAAGATCTGATAAGCCCAACAAAGTCTTCCACCATTCCATAGACAAAAGAGAGAAAGTTCTCAACAGAGAGAAGGAAACTAGCTTATAAGCGCGAAGGAAAGAAACCAAAAAAGAGAAGCTATAAGCTTTTGGAAAGCTCTCTCACCTTTGTTTATACTTAATACTTACTTGACTCCCACCACCGCCTTGAGAGCGCTCATAGCTTCCAAGAGCTTGCCATAGTCACTGCCGCTGCTACACCCGGATGGAAGCTCCACTCCCATGAAGCCGTAGAGCCGCTCCACTTGAACGCCCAAGGATCCACCAGCGGCGTCCCGGTAGCCGATCAACTTTTTAAGCGCAACAATCTCCTTGCGAAGGCGAGCGCGCTTTTCCTTTTCCGGGACCTGCTGGAAGTTTTCACCTTGAACACCATCACTTAAGAAGAAACTTAAAGCTCCAAACAAGTAAAAGAAAGCTCTCACCTCGGGCTTGGCGGCGGCGGCGGCAGCAGCAGCGTTTCGTGCCGAGGTGACGGATTCGTCCGAGCTCACTGCGTTGGGCTCCTCTGGAAAATCCTCGGTCATGGAAGCGTACTCGTCCACGGAAGATCTCGGCTCCTCCTTGCTGTGATCCTGTCCCTCGACGCTGGAGCCACCGTTTTCCACTGAAGAGGCATGGACTTCCTTGGTACTGTCAGGAGCAGCCGCGATCTTTTTCTTGGCTCCACCGGATTCTTCCTCGGGATTTTCCGGACTGGATCTTTTGTTTGTATTCTCCGGGATAACGCTCAATCCCACTCCCTGATCCTTACTGCCACTGCCCTCGTCTTTATCAGCATCAACCTTAACGCCACTCTCTTTGTCTCGATCGCCATCGTGGTCATGAGCTTTAGCTCCAGTAGCGCCACCATCATCATCGTCCGCCAGCTCAACTTCCACGCACTGATAAAAATCCGGAGATCCTTTGCACTGCGATTCGGCCTTTTCGATCTTGCTGCCATCTTCATCGTCCTCTTTTTCCTCAAGCTCCACCGAAGTCTTTGGGTCCGAGGGAGGCTTCTCCACCACAATGTAGTCCTCGGAGGATTTCCCTGGCTCGCCGTGATCCTCTGGAGCCTCCTCGCAAGAAATCTCTCCAAAAGCTGGCTCTGGGCGATCTTCTTTCTTCGATCCGGCTTCTAGGTTCTCCGAGCAAGCCGACGAAGAAGCCCCAACTGGATCCTCTTTCTCGGCCTCCCCATCATCCCGGACAGACCCCTGGCCCTCCTCGGAGCTCCCAGGCGACCACTCGAGGTAGTGTTTGGGCGCCTGGAGGATCTTCTTGAGGAGAAGAAACCCCACAGCGGCCGATCCAACAGGCACCGCGAGGAGAGCGCCAGCAAACGCAAGAACGACCGCGGATGGAACAAGAACCGGGAGCGAGATCACAACAAGCCCCCCAATGCTGGCTTTCTTGCCCAGCTCCCACAGCCGCGACGACATAGCGCTTGAAATCTAGGATCTCCTACTCACCGATCGACACCACGCTCACAAAGACAACACAAAGAGCTCGCTGGAGGAAGCGCTCGCCCTGGTCCGCCTCCATGAACCCTATAATCACCGAGAAACTCACTGTTATGTGGCGGCGTGAAAAAGCGACACGTGGAGCGCACTCATACGGTGTCACCTGACTCAGCGCTAGCGCGGGAAATTTAAAATTTGGGTTTTAGGGTTCTAGGCTAGGTTATGGAGAATGCCGGGATTTAGGGTTCTTGGGGCGAGTTACGTCCAGCGCAGGGGGATTTCCAAGTGGTTCCGTGCGCAGTGGTGCGATGTCCGCCTGGCCTGCGGTGGCCTCCCTCCCACACAAGTCCCAGTGGCCGCCATTCGCAATCCCGAGATCATCCGCAACTCTCCTCGCCGGGATGCGCTTCACGAGCGGCGGCTTCGCGGCCATGACGATGAGTGCCGCGCCGAGTATCTCGCCGCCAAGCGGATCTCCGGGGTGGGATTCCAGCACCACGGCTTCGATTGCAGCATCGACGACGTGCGCTGGATCGGCGATGGCCAGCAATCCGTGTCGCTCATCTGGGATCTCCACAACAAGCCCGAAGGGATGGATCCCTACGCCGCCGCGAAGAGGGTGGTCGAGATCGCCAGTGTGTTTGGGGGCGTGGTGGAGAGGACGGCGTACGCGAGCCGCCGGATGCTGTGCTTCCTCCCGCTCTTCACGCGCGAGTATAACAAGGTGAGAGACTTCGAGGTGGTGGACGGAGAGGTGGTGGAGAGGAATCTCTCGTGCCCGCTTTGCGGCGATGGTGAAGCTCGAGCGCCGCACTGGGCGAATCTGGTGAAGCACTTCCGGCTCAAGCACGAGAGGACCAGGACCAAGATGATCTATCGGATGCATCTGGCGTCCGGGGAGGAGAAGAAGTCGTGGAGGAAGATCTTGCTCCATCAGGAGGCCAAGTATCAGCGCGCTGCTAGAGCTGTGTTGACGCCTCGGGTGCTCTTGCCGGATGGATTGCCGCTCGCGCTGATCAAGGCCGGGTACTTTGTGAAGCAGATGCCTGATAAGCCCGCCAAGGCACCGGACATGGCTGTTTGGTCTCACATCCTACAGGTACTGTTATTCTTGAAATGTTTCTCTTGATCGTTTCTTCTTCTTTTCTGCCAGTTCTATTCTGCCAGTTCCACATCAAAAAATTCTTTTTTTCTTGGTTTCATTTGCTCCAACTTCTTTTCTTCCATCTTTGTTCCTCTCAAAGCTTAGGTCCAGTAACTCTGCATTTGTTTTTTTTCTTGTTTTTTATTACATAGAGCTTTGATGGCTTCAACTTTTTCCTTCTTTGCGCTTTGATCCAATCAACTTCTTTTCTTCCACCTCCAAATCTTTGTTCCTCTCAGAGCTTTGATCCAGTAACTTATCTTTTTACTTGTCTTTGCGTGGAGCTTTGATGGCTTCAACTTTTTCCTTCTTTGAGCTTTGGTCCAATCAACTCTTTCTCATTCTATACTGTCTCTCTTCTTTGCTTGCATAACTTTTCATTTCATTCATTCATTCATTCATATACTGTTTACAAGGTCTCGCAGCGCCCCCCAAGAAGCATGAGACTCTTTGCATATTTCTTTCCTCTTCTTTGCTTTGAGCTTCTTGCTTAGCACTCAATGTTGTACTTCTCATTCATCTTTCTCTTCTCTGATTGATATTCTCCAACCATCTTGGAACTTTTTATCAGGTAGCCAACCTCGGGATCAGCTGCATCTGCCTCGTCTGCGACAACGTAAACTACACCGGCGCAATGGAGTTCGCGCGGCGGCAGAACGTCCACACGGTCCTCATCGGCATCGGCGCGAGGCAGAAGATAAAAGAGAAAGCCAACCTCTACTTCTCGTGGGAGGAGGTGGTAACGGGCAAAGCCCTGGCCATGGCCGAGCAAGCCGCCGCGAGCTGGGCCGCCAAGCAGACCGAACCAGGCAAGTCCAAGTCAAAGAAGAAAAAAAAGGAGCCTTTCGCAGTCCAGGAGGACGACATGTTCTTCGAGTACTACGAGAATTTGTACCCCTCCTCCTCCGGCTCGTCGGAGTTCGAGTGGAGCGATTCGGACGAGTCCGAGTGATCCGTGCTGTCAAAATCTTCTCACGAGGTAAATGAGGGGTCTTTGTTTCCTTCATTTGGAGTAACATCGGTTGAAAGTTTGCGAGGAACTTAGCAGGCTTTGATCTGCTTGTAGTGAGGCGATTCGTGCTATCAAAATCTTCTCGCGAGGTAAATGGAAATCTTTGCTTCTTTCATTTGGAAGTAACAACGATCATTGTAAGTTTGCGAGGAACTTAGCAGGCTTTGATCTGCTTGTAGTGGCTGGGTCGACCATCTGGGAATTTCACAAGCTCCATCGTGTAGCCATCGCGCTTGAGCAGCACCTGCTCGTTCGATCCCAGCTCCTCGCAAGCCAGCTTCCCCGAGAGCTCCCCAGATCGAATGACTTTGGAGTGGAGCAGCATGAACTTCCCATCCGCGAGCTCCACCACCGCGTTGTGCCACGGCGTGGGGATGTGGAAGTTCTTCTCCTCGGACGAGCGCTGCGCGGCGAGCAGCGAGGCATGGATCACATTGATCCCATACTTGGGGCCGCGATTGGGATGCGGGTGGATCGAGACGCGCAGCGCGAGAGGGAAGAGCCACTCCACCATGGCCGAGTAGGCGCGGTTGCGCAAGAGCATGAGGAAGCCCACCTTGCTGCAAAGCTCCTCCTTTGCGGCGAGCGAGGGGAGACCCTTGCAGCTCTTGTGTTCTTGGAGATCCTCGAGCATGAATCTGGAGAAGCCATGGTGTAAGTTGCGCGTCTCCACGCTCTCTTGGATGTCCTTCCTCACGGAGGATTCGTCGTTGCCAAACAAGCACAGTAGCGCTCGTCTCGCGGTCTCTGCGCTGGAAGTCAGCTTCGTCTCGATCGGGTGCTCCAAGATCGTGTTGGAGATCAGCGCTGCGATGCTATCCTCGTCTTGGTTGTCCAGGAGGAAATCATCCAGGCGAAAGAAGTTGATCAATCCGGGATGTAGATCATGCGCCATCTCGCGGAACATCCTTCCATAGGTATCCACAGTAGCATCATCGGCTCCAACTGGAAGAAATCACGTAAGACGATGGATCGAAGCATTCCAGCTCCAGGAACTTACCCAGATCCGAGAAGACGTGGCCATCCGAGACGATGTTGTAGTGCACGCCCGGAGGATAGACCTCCTTGACGAGATCCGCGATGATCTTCATGGAGCGAATGGCGAGCTCCTCGGCCTTGTCCGGGAACTTCCCCAGCGTCTTGTCTGGATTGCACGACTTCACTGGAAACGCCGGCAGGATGAACTCGAGAGGAACGTTTCTCGCGACGTGGTATCTCACTCCCTCGCCGAATCTCTGCTTGCCTCCGCTGGTAAACCACTGGTCGTTGCTGGCAAAGTGGATGAAGTTCTTCTCGATGATCTCCAGCGCGCGAGCGGTGATCTCGTCCACCTCTTGATCGGCAGTGGAGGCGTCCAGGAGGCAAGATCTCGTCATGGCGCTGTTGTCCAGCAAGAGAGGGGCGAGGTAGTCGATCTCGCGCTCCAGCGTACCTGGATCCACGAACACCACGCCCTCGAAGCCATTGCCGAGGAATCTCTCGTAGATCGTGGCTGCCCAGGTGCTGGATTGGTCAGCTCCGAGCAGAGTGATGGTGTACTTGTTGATCGCTGGAGCGATGGTGCGCGAGGCTTGCTTGGCTGCCTCGAGATCTTGTGCCTTGCTCGCAACCACGGACTGGAAGGTGAAATCGCCCTTCTGGGCGACTGGGACATGGCGCGACGCGGACTGGGAGATGAAGGCGATCTCGCCGCTCTCCCTGTGAATGTACAAGAAAGCGATCTTGTCCTTGGGATAAGCCATGGCGTTCTAGCTAGATGGGAAGAATTGCTATAAAGTTTTTAGGAATTGCGATCACTTACGTGTTTGTTCTCCTCTGTTAGGTCGAGGTCTCTTTAAAGTTCCTTTATATAATGGAGAGGTGTCTTGGTACATTTTAGACCCGCAATTTAGAAACGTGAGAGCGTTGGACCGCCTGTTCTGGCCGCCATACCAAGCCAGTCAGAGTATTCCTAGAATGTTTTAAGCAAATAAAAATTGTTTAGTATAACTATTAACTATTTCTGACTGTTAACTATATCTGTTTAATATAATTAATTAATTCTTATTATCAAGATTTATTGGAATACTGGTGGAAGATTCTTGGCATCGGACCTAGGGTTTTGCAATGCCAGGTCGCTTCCAACGCTTCCATGATTCCATGTTTATATCCTTCGAAGGTGGAAAGCATCGCGTTCTCGATCCAGTTAAGAACACTCTCGTCGGATCCTTCTTTCAAATCAAGCTCGGCGGAAGTATCAGGGACGTGCCCGAGAGTTTGCTCATGTACGTCCGGCAGGACTTGGTAGACCTGTACGATGCCCTGCTGGCTGACATTGCCGACGGTGAAGACACTCGGAGGGTGTACATCGGCCACCCAGGAACCGGAAAATCCCTGACGGCCATCCAGCTCTTGTTCCTCTTGCTCAAGCGGCACAGCGCCAACCCAGTGGTGTACTACTCGCATAAGGTGTCCCAGGGAGTTTACCACCTTTTCAAGGGGGGACAGTTCCACTCGCTTCTTAGGTTCGACGCGGTGGCGCAGTACTTGGAGGATCCAGACACGTTCTATATACATGATGGGAGTAAGATACCGGATTCAGGCGCCATCGAGGCCCGAACTGTGCTAGTAACATGTCCCAAGGCTAATGTTTACAAGGAGTTCGCCAAGGTTTCTGGGGGCTATGACGCTTTTTATGGTCACTTATGGACTGAAGAGGAGCTGAAAGCATGTCGGGAGCGTTCGTATTCCAGGATACCATGGCAGACAGTCGCGCGGCATGTATATATGGCCGGCCCCATTCCCAGGCTTGTCTTCCAGACTGCAGAGAAGTTCAAGACCGTGGTGCGGACCCTGAAGAGCAAGCTAGCTCAGACATCAGATCTGCTGTCGGTTTTTTCTTCAATACGCGACCACGACCTGGAGCAATCTTTCTCCCATGACGTAGTGCTTCACTTGGACAGGGGAAAAGATTCGTCGGAAGGTTACACAAAGATTGCTTCGGACTATGTGAAAGAACAGTTGTTGCTACGCCTGGACAAAGAAAAGTGGCTGGAGATGATTGACAAATACACCAGTTTGCAAGGTATAGGTGGCCTTACTTGTTTCCGGGGCACCGTCCTAGAGCTGCTTATGCACATTACCTTCCCAAGGTTCCTGGGAAAGTGCGAGCGGATCTGCAGCAAAACGCATCGACATTCAACTTCTGCTCCTGCCAGAATGAATGTGGATGAAGCCGAGGACATCAAGGTTGTCTTTTATGTGAACTATGAAGACCTGCAAGCCAAGATCGAAAAGTGCATCGGGGATAAGTGTGCAGCGGCTTACTTCTGGCCGCGTACTAGGTCTGAGGCGGCCATAGATAGCATCTACATCGACTTCAAAAGGAAACAGGCGTATCTTCTCCAAGCCACTGTCTCTAAGAAGCATGTGGTCGTATGGCATCCTGTGAAGTTACTGATGGAGTTTTTGAGCAGCAAGGCGATCCGGATTGCAGGTCTTTACTTTGTGGTGTCGGACGCGATCTTTTCAGGATTCCGGACTCAAAGGTGGAGGAAAACTCGTGAAGTGAAAGGCGAGTATCCTGAGGTGATCAACATCCCCAGCCTTTGTCAGTACAAGCTGGAGTTCTCGGTACTTGATGACGACTGGAAGAACATCGAAAAGCTGAGCGATACCTTGCGAAACATGGATGACAATTTCAAATTGACACTGGTAAGGTTTGAACTTTATTTTTTTTGCGATTGTCTTGACGGTCGTTGCTAGAGCCTGGAGAAGGATTTGCCGGAAGAGCATGTCCAGCGCAGGCGTTCTGCTGACGATTCCTCGTCCTCGTCTGTCACGTAAGCCAAGTGACGATTCTTGTTTGATACTCATTGAGGTGTTTCACAGGATCGAGCCAGAGTGCGAGCTTGAGATTACAGAGGTAGATGTGGCCGCAGGCGAGCTTTATGAGCAGGATGATGAGGAGTAACGTAAACCTTAAACCCTCAAACTTTTTAAACTTTGCAACCAAATGTTCATAATGGAATCTAATTAGGGCCAGCCTGTCTTTTAAGGTCTTGGAACAAAGAGTGGGGCGCGTTTGTGCGGTGGGCATTCTTTTGTCTTGAGATTGGATCTGATAAGCCACAGAGTCAATGGGAGCATGGTACAGATAAGATCGTGAGAGCTTACTTTGTATCACCCACCCGATGAAGAGCCGGATATGGAAAAAGAACTTATTGGTAAAAAAATATTAAAAATTACATCACTTAAGTTTAAGGTAATTTCAACTTTATCACCCTTGTGTATGCGGCAGCTGCAACATGATTTGAGAAAGTTTCATGATCCAAAATTTTCCCCAGGCCGTAGCAATCCAAAGCTTCTGGAGGAGTTTATTATGACGTAATGGTTTCACGTACGGCTTTGAGATATCTTCTGTCGCTTTAATGCTAGAAAACACTACTTTGGCCTGCCAGCGGTTCCAGGACGGTCTATACCTCCCATCGCTCCATCAGCGCATCGCATGATCCAGGTGATGATATAAAAAACTGGATAAGAGAAACCCCGTAGCTGTAGCTTTGCATTCGTCCAATCTTCTTATCCGTTCAGTATGGTTTTCGTCAAGAGATCCACACTTGTCCGCCCAGCGTCACCAGTTCTCAATGGATTCGGTGAGTTTCCATACCGGAATCGCCTCCTCTTCTTCAGGCCGCCTTCGCAACCGCTTTCGAAGATCATCACCCACATGAAACAGTCTTTGGCGGCGGCGCTGTCCGAGTTCTACCCTGTCGCTGGCCGGATCTCCGTACGCGAGGACATGCGAATGCAGCTCGAATGCAACAATCACGGCGTCATGTTCAGCGAGGCGTCGTGCGATCGCACACTTCCCGAAGGCGACAAGTTTGATCTGGACCCCGAGTTCCTGCTGGAGCTGTCTCAAGCTCCTGGGCACGAGAAGGATCTCAAGTGACCGTGGCCGGCTGATGCTCCACTCCTTTTTATCCAGGTACACAAGATCTGACAAAGTGTATCGAAAGACAATGTTATACTTTCAAGGTGACCGAGTTTTCGTGCGGAGGCTTCTGCGTGGCGATGAAGTACAGCCACGAGCTCATGGATGGTACAAGTTTCTGGCACTTTATTCAATCCTGGGCGGAGGTCTCTTGTGGAAAACCAATCTCCCAGCCTCCTTTTGTGGTTCCATTCCCGATTGGAATCCCATCTAGCGATGCTCCTCCTCCACCAGTTCCCAGCGGAGGAATGCTCACTCTGCTCGATCGAAATGCGCCGGATCCGGGGCTTTTCGGCTACAAGTCCTTCCCGAGAACTCGGAGGTTCCGATTCGGGAAGCTCATGATCCAGGCTCTCAAGCAGAGAAACCCCGAGTACTCCACATTCCAGCTCCTATCATCGCACATCTGGTGGAAAGTTTGCTTAGCTCGCGGCTTGGGCGACAAAGACACCACCAAGCTGTTCTTCGCGGTGAATTGCCGAGGGCGATTCCCGCACCTCCCGAAAGAGTATCTCGGCACTCCCGCTGCATGGGCGATGGCGTCGGCGAAGTGTGGCGAGATGGAATCGCTGGGAATGATCTCCTCGCTCATCAAGAAGACGATCAGGGAGTTTAGCGAGGAGAGCTGGGGCGTGTCGGCGGGGTTTCTCGAGCACTACGCGGGTGGAGAGTCGAGCGACAAGGCGGTGCTTGATATGAGGCCGGACAAGGACTTGTACATTGGGAGCTCGTTCTATTTCCCGGTCTTCCACGAGTTCTCGTGGGGGACCCCGTGCGAGATGGCCATGGCGCAAGCTCCAGCGAATGGGCGAATGTATTACTTCCCGGGCAAAGAGAAAGGCAGCGTGGATCTCTACATCACGCTGCAACACCAGGCAATGGACAAGCTCGAGAACGACGCATCTTTCTGCGACATGCAGGCGAGCTAAGCAGTGAGTTTGGAGATTCTTTGCTGGTAGTTAATAGTTATTTTGTCCAAACTGGATATATACCTTAATTTCATCTTGCAAAAAGGGAGCTTCTAGAAACCATTAAGTTGCATATTTTTTTATACGTTTGTATAAGTAAATCCTATGGTTCACAAATTGCGTATTGAATAAGTACTTCTCATCCATGGCTGGTCGAAGGGAAACATCATGAAGTTAATGAGAACCTGGAAGCAGCTCTTCGACTTATGGCACGAGTGGAATTGCCAGGACCACAATCTCTTTCATATGAAATTGATCACAAATAGAGATTTATCTCCGAGCAAACACAGAAACCAACAGAGTCTCTAGATAGCACCAAGATCTTCTCCACCTTAGTTGAAGTTTTGTAGATAAAGTTAAGATTTGCAGTTTTTCTTCTTGGAGAATGTAACTTAGATCCGTGAGAATACTCCACTGGCATATGCTGTGTATTCTACAATTTTTTCTTCAGATCCTTCCTAATCCCCGCTTAGTTTGCTTCTAAAACAAATCTGGAAAGATTGAGTGCTTACTAACGTTCTGCTTCAAGTATTTACCAGGTTGCGATCCACTTGAAAGCAACTAACAGAACCACAGTCCATTATTTCATCTCTTTTAATATTTGTTCTGGAGATTCTTCAGCGTTGGAGCGAGAATTTGGAGTAGCTGTGCACGCGGTAGATCGTGATCACGAGTCGAAATGTTAGCGAGTGAGTGCTGTGAGACTGGCCTATGAATGATCATAAGAGTCTTCTTCGCCAAGCAAGCCATCCGAGAACTTTGATGTGTTTCTGTTTTTCAGTGGAGAGTTACTAGGGGTTGATCTTTTCCATGAAAACAAGACGAAAGATGATTAAGAGATCGCTTGCCCTAGCAGAGAATCTTCTAAAACTGAAGGCATCGCAAAGGTGAAGTAAAATTCTGGCAGTTTGGAGTTTGGATTCATGGCGGCATCGCTTCTTTCTCTGGACAATGGTACATTGCTGTTTCCACAAACGATCCAGCACGACTGCCTTGTATCCCAACACTGGAATCATCCCCACCCGCCAGAGCCAAGGCAGGCAGCTCTTCGACAAGCAGCGCTCCTCGCTTGCCCCGCGCCAGCGCCATCTCGATCGGTTCCTCCTCTCCCCACTCGAGGAGCAGCAGCAAAGCCTCCAAATCCACGAGCGCCTCGCCCACATTTCTCCCAATGGAGATATCTCGGCCTACATCTCGCTCCTGCAGGACTGCCGCTCGCTCGAGCAGGGCAGGGCAATCCACCGGCACATCGCCCACAGCAAGGTGGCGGGGGAGCCGTACGTGCACAATCTCCTGCTCAAAATGTACGGCAGGTGCCGCCGTCCCGGCGAGGCGCGACTCGTTTTTGATTCCATGCCCCTCAAGAACAGCTTCTCCTGGAATCTGATGCTCACCGCATATTCCCAGGCAGGGCATCTGGAGGAGGCGAAGACGCTCTTTGATTCCCTGCCTCACCCAGACACAGTGGCCTCGAATATCATGCTGGCCATGTACGGTAAGTACGGCAGGACGAACGAGGCTGCGGAGCTGTTTTCTGAAATGCCCGTGCGAGATGCCGTTGCATGGAATACTCTGATGACAGCATATGCCCAATATGGGCATTTTGAAAAGGCACTTTGTCTGTACAGGAGCTCTTGCCTTGAAGGCTTGCGGCACGACCACATTGCATTTATAAGCGTCTTGGAGGCCTGTTCGCGGCTAAAAGCCTTTGAGGAGGGCAAGAGAATCCACCATGCTGCTGCAGCAATCGGCTGTGGTTCAAATCTCAAGGTCGTGACAGCAATCGTGAATTTCTACTCCAGATGTGATCAACTCGATGATGCCAGGAAAGCCTTCGATGGTGCCCCGGAGAAGGATGCTTTCTTGTGGACGGCCATGGTTACAGCATATGCCCACGCAGGGTATCTGCAGGATGCTGAGGATCTCTTTACTCAGATGCCTGCGAAAGATGCCGTGTCGTGGACGGCGATGATGGCAGCATATTCCCGGAACGGGCATCCCACTCAAGCTCTACGAGTGTTCCGCCAGATGGATCTGGAAGGAATCCACCCAACCGGTATCACTTTCATCACGGCTTTGGATGCCTGCGCGATGATCCCATCGCTAGCGCTTGGCCGGATCATTGCCGCCACCATCGACTTTGTAGAGCCCAGGTTGGAGCCCGCGATCCAGAGCTGCTTGCTCCAGCTCTACGGCAGATGCGGCGCTCTGGGCGATGCCAAGGCCGTGTTTGATTCCATGCGCGACCGCAACGTCGTGACTTGGAGCTCGATCATTGCCGCGAATGCCCAGAATGGACACGGCCATCGTGCACTGGAGCTTTTCTACTCGATGCTCCTCGAGGGTGTTCTTCCCGTGGAGATCACGCTGATCAGCGTTCTTCACGCCTGCTGCCACTCGGGACTCTCCGGGAACGCTCCGCAGTTTTTCCAGTCCATTTCCTCGGAATTTGAGCTGCGACCCATTGCAGACCACTTTGTTTGCATGATCGATGTGTTTGGGCGATCCGGGGAGATCGAAAATGCCGCGGACTTGATCGCGAGCATGCCGTTTGAGCCGAATGCGGTGGCGTGGACAATTCTTTTGAATGCTTGCAGGATGCACAAGGATGTGGAGAGGGCCAAGAGGATCACCGACAGGATCGTGAGGCTCGATGGGTCGTGGCAGTATGCTCTCCTCACGGGCATTCACGCCGAAAACGAAAAGGTGGTAAATTAAAAGTCTGCATTAACGTTGGGTTATGGATATTAGTTAAATTTCTCTTTAAAACAATAGAGAAATATTATTGTAACAACTTATTTTCGAATATGTACATAAATTTTTTAAATTATGAAAAAATTATGAGAGCTACAACAATGTAATGTTCGTAAATTTACACAAAAAATTTATATTGCTTTCTGCAAGATGGATCATTCAGCGCTGCAAAATAATCTGATGCTCGCCATCCTGCCCGCAAAGAACATAATTTTTAGGAAACAGAGAGAAGAAATCTTGAAGCTCAAAGAAAGGTCTCACCTTGGTGTCCTCAAACAATGACGAGAAGTAAACCGGATCATAGATGGATCCAGCCAGGGTCTCGCTTTGCGAAGCTTGGCTCTCATCCGGCCAGAAGGGCTCCGATCGCGGGACCTCGCCGAGGGTGGCAAGGCGCGCATCGAAGTTAACTGGCTGATACGAGGCAACATCATGCGACGAGAAGCCTTCCCGGATCAATGGAAACCAGATGAATGCCGAGACCATCCGGGCAATGGAGCTCGTGGCTTGGAGTCCCAGGAATATATACAGCGCCATAGCCGAGAGCTTTCCAGGAGCAATGTTCCTGATGAAACAAACCGTAAAGCTCCGAGGAATGCGAGAGAAAACTTTTCTACCTGAGCTCATTGGCGACGAGGACGAACCAAGAAACGTCGAGGAGAAGGTTGCATCCCATGAGGACGAGATAGATTCGAAGCAAAACTTGGATTCCACTCTCGATGGCTATGAGAGCGAAGAGGGCGATGGCCAATTCCGCCACGGGAACTCCAGTGTAGAGCTTGCTTAGCGAGCCGAGAAATGCGCACCCAATCTAGAAGCTCAAGGATGAATTTGAAAGAAAGAAATGGAGATCTCTCCCTCCTTGTCTTTGGTATTTACCTGGATGTAGATCAGCGCTGTTCCAAGCGATTGCAGATGCTCCGGAACGAGCAGCCATTCGCGAATCCCTTGCAGCAGATTCCCACATTGCAGTGCCCCGGGACACTCACCTGGCCAATGCCGCCAACCACGCATAGCCTCATCGTCTTCTCACACCATAGCCAAGCCCTAATACCAAGCAGTATATTCGCACATCATTTAGCTATTCTAATAGTATTTCAATACTAACATATAAAAGTGTTTATGACAGTATATAAATTATAAATATGTTTATAAACTATAAATATAAAATTTTCTAAATTATTAAAAACCGTTAAATGGTAAAATATTATGAAATATTCAAGTATATTCTAGGTATGTCCACCTCAGTATAAGTTTGCTTAAGCAAACCAAAATTCTTGCTTCATAAAATAAAGTAATTGATTAGAAGGGAGGTTATTCCTTTTAACTAGTCATTAAGATTATGTAAAAATAATAGATGTTACAAATTAACAAAAATTAAGAGAAAAATGAACAACTTGGCATTGGTTACCAAAAATATTTCTAATCACTTTCTACTTGGAGGAAAGTTTGGAAGTTTCATGTCAGTCTGACTAATTCCTTGCTATAACTTCTCTTTTCTTTTCATAAGAACTAAATTGAAGGTGTTGAAATACCAAGTGCTAGAGAATACCCTTTGCACTACTAGATGTCCTCACTACTTCCATAAGATCTACCTATGAAGGATAATTGACTGGGATATCAAAGCCTTCAAGCTCTAATATACTACTCTATCTTTTGAGTAATCTTGATCAAGTAAACAACTCTTAATGAAAAAAAACTTAAGAGGCCTCTACATATGCAATGTTGTGGAAATGTCAGTCTCTACATATGCCTCATTGAAATCTCCTTGGCAACATAATTTAGATGGATTGACTCTTAAACTAAACACATTGAAAATGTTGTACTTGTTACTATTCAACAATGTTGATGCAAGGCTAGGAAGCCTATAGGATCAAGCCTATAATGATTTAATCCTGATGTTGCCCTCGATTGGTAACCTCCACCAGCTAAAGGAGCTTAAACATTATATTTGAGCTGCCCAACTCATTTGCTAACTTAAGGGTACCTTGCACATTGCATGTCAAGAAAAAAAGATTTATTTTCTTAATGAATTTTTTTTTTCCTATTTTGTAATTTTTGTTTATTTGCACCACCATAAAAGATCATTGAAAGTAGATATGGAAAAACTAAGTCATTTTAATAAAGAGGCTTATCCCATCAATGTATATGAGAATGAATTATGCAAAACATTTTGTTGGGTGTATATATATATATACATATATGTATATATGTATATATACATATATACATACATACATACATACATACATACATATATACATATATATATATATACATATATACATATATATGTATATACATATATATATATATACACATACATATATACACATACATATATATATATATATATATATATATATATATATATATATATAT